ATGTAACTATATGAATTTTGCTCACTTCAGGGTCAAATAGTGTGCTAGGACTTCATTTCCTTCTCAGTGGGTTTAATGCCCAGTGCCACTTGAAGAAAGTGGTTGGAATATCCATGCCAAGTAAATCCTCTTTTCTAAGTTAAAAATTATTTCCCCTGAGAACTTTAAAGACATAAATTCTATTGTTCCCTTGCATCAGTGATTTTTTTTAATTGATTCTTATTCCTTAGGTGGTGACATTTTTCTTTCTCTTTATGGAAACTTTTAGAATCTTCTCTTCATGATTGTTTTACCATTTCATAATGATGTCTAGGAATGTATATTTTTCCCCTTCACACCTGGAAACACTCAGTGGACCCTTTCAATACAGAGAAACCCTTTGATACAAGGAAACTTTCTTAATACTTTAAAGGCTATGCAGAGTTATGAGTACAGATATTGAGAGATCAGGCTATTGGGGGTTAAATAACAATCATTCACTGTGTAGCTTTGTAGCTTTGAGCAAGTTATTTAAAATTTGTGCTTTCTTTTTTTAATGTGGTGATTTGTATTTAGCTAATTTATTTTCTTAAAATTACACCCAAAATGCAAATGAAGTTGTTTAATTGCTCAAAAATTATTTTGAACAGTGTATGTATTTCTTTATCCAACAAATCAGCTAACACACACACACACACACACACACACACACACACCCCTATATATCCAGAAACTTTTCCTTGAATATATGTATATATTTGTGCAATAAAGAATACTTTTGCTTAAACATAAAGCCTTTCTCAATTCTAGATTTTGCTTTCAAAAATTAGTATGCATACCAGGCAGTGGTGCACACCTATAATCCTGGTGGCTCAGAAGGCTGAGGCAGGAGGATTGCAAGTTCAAAGCCAGCCTCAGCAACTGCAAGGCACTAAGCAACTCAGTGAGACCCTGTCTCTAAATAAAATACAAAATAGGGCTAGGGATGTGGCTCATTGGTTGAGTGTCCCTGAGTTCAATCCCCAGTATCCCCCCACAAAAAATTAGTACATGGCTCTTAAGATAGTTGATGTTGTCATTAAAAAATCATAACACTTTTGTGACCTAATTTATATGCCTACTATTAATGTTATAGCCATGCCTAAGCTTAATTTTTCCCACATTTAATTGGTACATTGTAATTGTACATACAGATGGGATTTGTTGTTACATATTTGCACTGCACATAATATGTCCATATAATTTGGCCAATATCAATTCTCCCTCTTGGTCCCTTTCTTCTACTGATCTCCTTTTGATTTTTATGAGATTTGCCCCATAACATATATCCCTTAACCTTCTGAGATTGACTTATTTCATTTAACATAATGGTCTTTAGCTCCACCCATTTTCCAAAAATGACATGATTTCTTTTTTTTTTTTTTTATGACTGAAGAGAACTCCATTGTGTATATATACCACATTTTCTCTATCCATTCATCTGCTGTTGATGGACACGTAGGCTGGTTCCATAGTTTGGCTATTGTGAATTGTGCTGCTATAAACAAGGGTATGCATGTATCACTGATGACTTTAATTATTTAGGATAAATACCAAGGAGTGGTATAGCTGGGTCATATGATGGTTCCATGCCTAGCCTTTTGAGGAAACTCAATGCTGATTCCATAGTGGTTATACTAATTTACAATCCCACCAAAAGGTGTTCCTTTTTTTCCACATCCTCTCCATCATTTATTATTTGTATTCTTGATGACTGCTATTCTGACTGGTATGAGATGAACTCTCAGTGAAGTTTTTTTTTTCTTTAATTAAAATTTTTTTAGTTGTTGATGGGCATGACACCTTTATTTTATTTATTTATGTGGTGCTGAGGTTCAAACCCAGTGCCTCACACATGCTAGGCAATCGTTCTACCACTGAACCACAGCCCCAACCCCTCAGTGTAGTTTTGATTTGCATTTCCCTAATTGCTAATGATGTCAAACATTTTTTCATATATTTGTCAGCCATTCGTATTTCTTCTTTTGAGAAGTGTCTGTTTAATTCATGTGCTCATTTATTAATTTACTTGATTTTTTTTGGCATAAAGTCTTTTGAGTTCTTTGTCTATTCCAGATATTTGTCCTCTGTCAAAAGAGTAGCTAGCAAAGAGTTTCTCCCATTCTGTAGGTTCTCTCTTCACATTCCTAATTGTTTCCTTTGCTGTTCAGAAGCCTAATGCCATTCCATTTATTAGCTCTTGACATTATTTCCTGAGCTTTAGAGGTCCTATTGAGAAAGTTGTTGCCTGTACTTATATGCTGTAGTGTTAACCCTATGTTTTCTCCTAGGAGTTGCATAAACTTTGTGCTTTCTTTTGAAGGAGTTCAAAGCATACCACACCAAATATACTGGTATCTTGACCATATTGAGTTAAAGACACTTGAAAAACAGTGGGTGCAAATAAATAAAGCAAAACAAAAACAAACAAACAAGCAAACAAAAACATTCTGATCTTCCTTCTTTTTCTTAAAAGCTGAAGATGAAATTCCTGTAAAAGATGTTCTATCTCTGCCACAAGGAAGTATCATTCTTATCATCAAGCCCAGGAAATGAGCCTGAGGGAAATCTGTACCAGTAAACCTTGTTAAACTAACCCTTCTCCAACAGTGACTCCGTTCTCTACCCAGTTAACTACCCAGTCCAAGTGCCTTTGCCTTTTTACATTTTCACAGTGTACAGCTTTGTCCAATTCAGTATATAACTCTGTGTCTTTGGATCTTCATTTTCTTATGAAGGCACTTGTGCTACATAAAGCTTGCTTTAACTAAATTTCTGTTTTTCTCCTGTTGATCTTTGAGTCAATTTAATTCTCAGACCCAGCCAAAAACTCCTAAGAGGGTAGAAATAAAAGTTTGTCTCCCTACCCGTTCTTATCTGAAATATGAGAATAGTAAGAGTATTTCTACACTATTATGTTACAAAGGATTTGTGTAAGAATTAAAGTTTATATTTAGAAAGCTTTATAAAGGGCCTGGCAAATAACACATAATCAATAAATGTCACATTATGTTTTCATGATTACCTTGTTTTTGTTTTTACTCCTCTTTTTTGGAGCTCTAGAAAAGTTGGACCTCCCAAACTGATCCTCCATTTTGCTTTTATTCTCCCATATTTTCTAAGTTTCTGATTTTCTAAAATAACTGTTTTAGTAGTTGGAATCTGGCTAAAATATTGAGTTCTAATACTTTTATTTTTAGTACCCAGGGACACTGAGCTACATCCACAACCCTTTTAGTTTTTTATTTTGATATAGGGTCTCCTTAAATTGCCTAGATTGGCTTTGAACTTGTGATCCTCCTGCCTCAGCCTCCTGAGTGGCTGGGATTACAGATGTGCACCATCCCACCCAGCTCTAATAGTCTTAATGTAAAGACAGGTGGAGAGCTCATGACTGAAGCTGCTAATTGAGACAGACTTTTGAGCAACACTGACTTCCATCCCCTCTTTGTTCTTGTCTTCCCCAGTGTCTGCTAACTGAACCCATCGGGGTCTAGTCAAATGGATTGATTCTTCTTCACTGAATTTCCTTTCTGGTATTACTTCTTTTCTCTTTTTTATTCATCAATAGGCTTCCATTCTTTCCCACATTCCAGAAAGCTTTTCCTTCCATTCCCTTTACCTTTATCAGTTTATTGGTTGGGTGTTATTTATATGTTTGTGCAAATTTATGTTTGTGCTCGGTCTACTATCCTGAATTAGAAACTTTATCTTTCCAAAGTCATTGATACAGAGTATTTAATTAGTTAACCCTCTTTGTTAACTATTTCCCTTGAGATAGAAATCATGCTGGATAGGATCATTTTTTAATGTCCTGACCCTCAGTCTAGTTGCCCTGTATATCCTTGATTAGACTGACCAAATCACAGCAATCAGAAGTGAGGTACTCTTGATCTCTAAAAGCAAGCTTCCATTGATTACTGTCCTGTGTTACAATATCTTATTTAAAGTTTAGTTTTGAACTTTTGTAGGGGGTGAGGACCAGAGTAGGTATTCAATAAATGCATTTTAATCTTGACTTCATTCTGGACTTGTTTAAGACTTAGTAAAACCTACTTCAGAGGTAGAGATGACTAGGAATGGACTAACAAACAGATAATGACTTTCATAAAATGTGACTTAGTTTATTATAATGACATTGTCAGGCCAAATTGATTTTAGATATGAAAATGTTTTAATAATCTACATAACAGTATTTCCTAAATTATGTTTTGTGGGTCACCAGACATGAAAGATAATGTAAAAAAAAAAAAGTGAAATGAACAGAAAGTGGGGAAAACAGCATTCTTTACTCTCCTGCTTGGAAATTCATCATGCTTATCTTGGAATAAGGGTGTTGAGAGTGCTACAGGTTAAAAAATTTTGTGTAACTTAACTTTTGCAAAACATATGTAACCACTCCCCCTGTTTATTTGATCAGTTATCCACAAACATTATACAAAACTAGTGTTCCTCAGAGTACACTTTGAGAAATACTGCCATTTAGTGTTATCTACTATTGGGTGGAGGGGCACTCAACCACTGAGCCACATCCCCAGCCCTATTTGTATTTTATTTAGAGACAGGGTCTCACTAAGTTGCTTAGCACCTCACCATTGCTGAGTCTGGCTTTGAACTTGTGATTCTCCTTTCTCAGCCTCAGGAGCCACTGGGATTACAGGTGTGTACCACCATGCCCAGCTATCTATTATTTTAATAGTAAGGATTTTTAAAATTTGGTGGCAGCAATGAGAAGAATGCAACTAAATTTATGACTTGAGGCTCGTGTTATTAATAATCTGTACAATTGTCATTATGTTATATTAAACACACTTGGAGTCGAGCTATCCACTAGGGAAGGATAACAAGTTTGTCAGGGGCTGCCCATTGTTGTGTGTATATTTTTAACTGTTAAAGAGAAGTAATTTTCTCAGGAGGTGTCAGCACCTCCAATATATCTTAATTTGATAGCAAGAAAGAGGTTTTACCACTGCTAACCTTACCTATTCCAGAAGAAGCCTTTTGCATCTTGCTGTGTTTGACAGGCAAAGTCAATGGACATGTTGGTTTTTGGAAGTCACTCCTCTGGGTGCTCTTAGTATCATAGGGTGGTTGGAAGACATGTTCCAGTGCTTTACTATATGACCACCAGTCACTCTTTATAGAAAAAAATTGGAAACACAAAATTGAATACCATAGGATATTTTCATGTGTTATTTGATGTTTATGGATGTTCAGTAATTCAACAAGTTATTGTCTATTCTAGAACTAAAAACGAGTTATAAAATCCAGGAATATCTTTTCACAGGGACACTATTTCTTAAAAGACAGCTAAAAAAATCATCATATTTTTAGTTAAAATACAGCTGCTCAATACTTAAACTACCTTCTATTAACAGATGAAGTGCTAAAAATCAACAAAATAATTTTATCTGTTTTGCACATAATTTTAATATAATACGTACTCACACACATAAAAACATGATTTATTTATTTATTTATTTAATTTATTTTATTTTGGGATTGAACAAAGGCCCTCTTTTATATGCTAGTGCTATACCACTGAGTTACATTCCCAGCTCTTAAACATGATTTAATCTAAAAATTATATTCTATACTTTTTTTAGAGAGAGAGAGAAGAGAGAGAGAGAGAGAGAATTTTTTAATATTTATTTTTCAGTTTTCAGTGGACACAACATCTTTATTTTATTTTTATGTGGTGCTGAGGATCGAACCCAGCGCCCCGCACATGCCAGGCCAGCGCGCTACCGCTTAAGCCACATCTCCAGCCCAATATTCTATACTTTTTAATCATGATAATACAAATAAGGTGTCATCATCTAAAAATGGCAGTTTTCAAAGTTTTTAGTCCATGATCCACACCATGACATAAATTTTATATCATACAAGGACACACAATACTACACATACATAAAACTGAAAAAAATTTCATAAAATATTTATTTCTATTAGTTTTCAGGGTCCTCAGCCATTTTTCTATTATGTTATTTCTCTTCTATTCATTTCATAGTGCTGACTACAATTCACATCGATTTATAATTCACTAATAACTCAGTTTGAATGTTTCCAATAATACTGAATTTTTGGTATAAAAACCTACCTAAGTACCTAGGAAAGTGATAGATTTTTCATTAGTACATACACACCATTTCATTAATACATACACAACTCTTAGAAGTTGGGAAAGCAGTGAGGGAAACTGTTACTCAGGTTAATTCTGATCAAAAATTTTAAAACTGTTTGATGGGGTAGAAAGAAAACCTTGGGGAAAAGGAACTGTGACAACTGAGTTCCTGGGAATTATTAGGGAATATTCCTTGGGCTAAGAAAGTAGATCTGCCTGGGCTGGGGATGTAGCTGAGTGGTAGAACCCTTGACAAGAAAGTAGTTCTGCCTTAAAAAACAGCGATGATTCCATAATCAAAGACTTTTAAAATGTGAATTAAGTGAAATGAATATGTGATTCTAATAATAAAATTTAGACAATACAATTGAGGCTACATTGATTCAAAAAGAATAGGCATCTAAAGAAACCTATGTGGGTTCAAAGAGAGTCATCTCTCAAATGAGATTAGTTTCTAAAAAGACAAGCACATGTAAGAGGTACAATATCAAACTTAAAATAAAATGTAATGGAGTCGACTTGTTAGAAGACTCCAGCAGCTTAGAAATAGAAGAAATTCATGAAATATGCTAAAGGCACCAAAAATAAGTTTTGGGTTTTTTTTGTTTTTTTTTTTTTTAACTTTTTAGAGCAAGAAATCAAAGAAATGCTAACAATTTGGAAAGGAGTACACTATTCAAAGCTAAAAAGTCAGAACAACTCAACTTAAGGTCCTTTGTTAATGAAAACTACCTTAAGACTGAAAATGACAGGATGAACAAATACCAAAGAGGGAACTAAGAACTGAATAGTTGTTACTTTATTTAGTGCCCGTTTTTAGGCCAATGACAAATGGTAACTAGGAGTAATGGAAGAACAGGTAATTGTAAATAGGTGATTTCTGCAGAGATCATAGAAATTTTAGGAACTAGGAAATTTTGGAGAACAGGAAATATTGGCTAATGCCTCATGTATTTTCAGAATGGGCTAAAAGGTGGATTTTTAAAACTGAGACAAATTAATATGGATCCTAAGAAAATTCTAGAGCAGATTACTAAACAGATGGTGTCTTCTCACTATCTGGCTAAAAATAGTCACATCTTACTGTTGTCAGAGTGCCTGATTCTTGTAGCTCTTTCTCCTCCACTCCAATTCATAATTATGACAGTGCTTAATATGTTTCAAGGTATAAGATTTATAGGCCTTATCTTACCACAATTCTGCAAGGTAGATACATCCACTTTACAATGAGAAAGCTGGCAGATTAAGTAACTTTCCCAAGGCACATCACCAGCAGGCAGCAGCACTACCACAATTCAATCCCCCACCCATCTGGACATAACCCTAATTTCTGTGCTCCATTGCTACATCAAATCTCCTGTAGAATGCTAAACCAAATAAGCATAGACTTAATTACATTATTTCAAAAGTGACTTTAAGTATCTTAATCTGTTTTGTGCAGCTTTAATGAATATAATTTTATTGGCTCACAGTTCTGTAGGCTCATAAGTCTGATATCAAGGAGCCATAGTGTGGGCAGGTTTGACAATTCTAATTCCGAGTTGGCCTCTAGAATGCTCATGTAGTTGGGAGATGTAAGAGTAAAAGGAAGGCAAAGGGGAGTTGACCTTGTCCTTTTATTACAGAATTAATCCCAGTCATGAAGGTGAATGGTCTAATCACCTCTTAACAGTCTTACCTCTTAATACTGTTACAATGGCAATTACATTTCTACTTATGTTTTGTAAACTTTCGAACCATAGCAGTCAGTATTCTAAGAAAGTTCTATGAAAGGTTATAAGGCATACACTTTGTAGTATAGTATATCTACATTTATTGATCAGAAATTTGTTTTACTAATATCCAAGTTACTGGGAAAGGGATACTGGGTAAGCAAACTACTAGAAGATGCTTGGTGGACTCCAATTTTTTTCTCAAATGAATATAATACAAAAACTATTCCTTTTTTAAAAAAAATTTTGTAATTGTAGATGGACAGCATGCCTTTATTTATTTTTGTATGCAATGCTAAAGATTGAACCCAGTACCTCACACATGCTAGACAAGTGCTCTGCCACTGAGTCACAGCCTCAGTCTACAAAACTATTCTTAAAGCAGAGAACCAGTAAACCTTTCAAGCAAAATTTGTTGAATTGAGAGTATTATTACAATTGTCCCTTTAGTTTCACAGATATAAAGGAAATAACGAATAATTTTTCCTAAAATTTGATGGATGACTTTAAGATGCTGTAATTGGTAAAAGAGTTCTGATGAGTGTTAAAACTAGATGCATATTCACTTCAACTGAATGAAATATTACAATTCAAAGGATATTATTTTTCCTATTTCTGGAGAGTCTTCCCTATGCTTGGAAAGTATGGGTTGTCCCTGAAGAGTGAGAGCATGACTCCTATGCACGGGCACACGCCTTTTTGGTCCAAGCACTTATGCTTAAGAGTTTATGAGATCAAAGAAATAGATGGAGCTTGCTTTTGTCTTCACCTCACACTGAAGAGAAAGACTAATAAAATATTTACTGTTCTGTGGCTCATCACTAACATTGGATTTGAGAGGGGTTGATATGGAAATATTTAAGACAAAATAAGCCAAATTGAGAAGTCATCTAGTGTGATGGGTAGGCCTTGGGGGACAGATTACATTTGCAGATTATAAGAGGGGGCTTTGCCTAAAGAGACAGTTGTTCCCAAATCAAAACTTTGGACCCAGAGAGAAAAAGAAGCCTGCACTCAGGTCTGTACTCCCTCCCCACCCCCACCCCCCACATTTTAAGGCAGATTCTCTTTCCTAGGTTAGGACTGATAGTCACTAGGGTTCCCTGATTAGGACATGCCTGGAGATTCCTGGGTAGAACTCCTTCTAACCCCTCAATATTGGAAAGTCTAATGTCCACTGCACTGTGGGCCCATCAGTTACATTTAGAAGCCAATGTGAGGGAATCTATGTAATACACCTGTTATCTCCAAGTTATCAGAAATGTTTTAGTAAACACTATTTTATTTTTCATTCTTTGGGAAATTATTGGAGAATCCTCAGAAGAGAAGTGGTAAAATCAAGAGGAGAATCCTGGAGAAATCAGTTAAGAGAAAGCAAGAGGTAGTAAGCTGGGTAGCCAGGAGTAGCTTGGCCAAGACGGTTGTGGTGATAGCAGTCATCTGTGATACATAAAATCCTCCTCTGGGGATTCCTAAATATAGTGAAACTAAAATTGTTTTGCTATAGATATCAGGAATGCTAAAAATGTCTCTTTTAAAGCAATTTATAATGTCTCCCATAACAGTTACTTACCTGTGTTCTGTGAAACACTAGGTCCCGGGCATATTAGTAGATGTTATGCAAAAAGAGGTTCCCATAGTTAAATAAATATGGGAACTAGTCAGATAAGCAAAGTTAAACAAGTTTATCACAGAATTTCTCAGAACCTTTATACACCAATGTAAACTATGAAACTCTAAGAAAGGTAAATAAAAGTACATGTTTTATAAAACATTTGATTTTGGAAATTTATTTTTTCAAGCATGTAGGCAAGGGTTAGTGCTCTGAAAAACGCACTTTTGAAAATATCAACTTACTACAATTTCTTTTAAATAATATCAATATTTAGAAAAACCAAGATAACTGGGCTAAAATATTCCATTTCGCTTTTTCCAGTGCCACCAATTTTATGTCTTTAGTTAGAAATGTATAAAGGATAATTTCATTTAAAAATCTTATAAACAAATAAAACCAACCAATCTAGTGTTGAGTTCTAAAGATATTATCTTAGCAAAATGTATAAAACAGATGTCAGTAAATATATTTAGACAACTTCATTTTATTTCTTAAAGCCAGCTATACTATATATATATACTTATATATTTTAACCAAGCTAATTCTTAAAAAAAGAAACCTGTCATCTTAAATAAAAGAACAAAGTTTACATACATGTGAAATAGCATTCTTTATTGCTTCTTGGGTACATGGAAATGAATACATTAAAAAGTTCATTTTTAGTTTTGTTTTTGAAACAAACTTTTCCTTCACTGCTCATCCAAACCACATGACTTTGTGATGCATCTCTTGTCTTTGTCTGTAACTCTTTATTCATATCTCCTATTAGCCTCTCTTACCTGTGCTCTTATTTCATTTCAAACTTCCTTTCACCATCTCTGAAGGTCTATCACATTTCTATTCTTGAACTAGCTTTTCTTTAGTGTCCCCAGTGTAGGGATGGGTGGAGTTAACAATTTCCCTTAGATTAAACCCTGAATAGAGCTCAGAAAGTTACTCGTTAAGAAATATGAGAACTACACTCACCTGGATTTCTGTACCAGATTTATTTCCCCAGTGTAGGTCTGGTTTAATAATTTAATAATGGATTTCTTTTAAATCCCAAATAAAGGATACAAGAGCTCCTACAAGAGCAAGTTTATAAAATCAAGTGCCTCAAACAATCCTTGCATCGGTTTACAACTGATATTAAAGCATATTTGACCATGAGAATTCTTTCCCCGAGATCTCACGTTTTGCATACAATAGCAGGGTGTATAGTTTTATGACAAGAACTGTTGATATAATAGATGTGGAGAGCTCACAAAATAGCCTCTTCAACAAATGGTGCTGAGAAAACTGGAAATCCATATGCAACAAAATGAAATTAAACCCCTATCTCTCACCACGCACAAAACTCAACTCAAAGTGGATCAAGGACCTAGGAATTAAACCAGAGACTCTGCATCTAATAGAAGAAAAAGTAGGCCCTAATCTCATCATGTGGAATTAGGCCTCAACTTCCTTGATAAGATTCCTATAGCACAAGAATTAAAACCAAGAATCAATAAATGGGATAGACTCAAACTAAAATGTTTTTCTCAGCAAAAGAAACAGTCTGTGAGGTGAATAGAGAGCCTACATCTTGGGAGCAAATTTTTACCCCTCACGCATCAGATAGAGCACTAATCTCTAGGGTATATAAAGAACTCAAAAAGCTAAACACCAAAAAAACAAATAACCCAATCAACAAATGGGCCAAGGACCTGAACAGACACTTCTCAGAAGAGGATATACAATCAATCAACAAATATATGAAAAAATGTTCATCATCTCTAGCAATTAGAGGAATCCAAATCAAAACTACTCTAGGATATCATCTCACTCCAGTCAGAATGGTGACTTCCATTAAACATAAAGTAAAATCTCAATTCCACCTAATGCACACTGGCAGAGATGAGAAAACTGGAATAGAGCAAGCTGACATTGCTGCAATGGTCTGAGACCATTTGGATAGTACACATTTCCTTCTTCAAATGTCATGCTGGAAATTATGATTACCTCTGCCTTGGCATATTTTGCATACCATCTGTTGATCACTTTCTGAGCCCAGTATTGTATTAGGCCTCGCATCATAGAATCCTGTTCTCCATGGGGAGTGGTGGGCTTCTCAGTCCCCACAACTGTACAGGAGCAGTAGATTAGGATTCTACTACTGCCAAGAGCTAATGCTTATTGAGTGTTCCCTTTGTGCACCATGAATCCTCTTCTGCCAGGTTACTATGTGGTCCTTCCCCAGTTCCTTTCAGGTCTTCACTCAAAAGTCACCTTCTTAGTGAGGCCTTCTCTGATCACCTATTTAAAGTTGCAGTTCTCCCTTCTTACCTCCTCTTCCATGCTAACTCTTACCACCATCTAGTATCCTAGTACAGTGTATTGTGCTTATTTTTCCACCAGAATGTAAGTAAGGAGCTACCCTCTATTTATTTTATTGACTGCTATATCCCAAGTGCCTCGAATAGGACCTGACAAAAATATCTATTTTAATTCTCTCAAAAATTCTATGAGAGAGAATGACTACTAATTCTATTTTATATATAATAAAACTGAAGCTTTGAAAAAGTAATTATTTGCCCAAATCACATGACAAGGGTACAGTAGCAACAAAAAGGAATGAACAAATGGTATATGCAACAATCTAGAGAAATCCCAACTGCAAGAAAAGGATTCAGAAAATTCCAAACTAATTCCATTTTATGACTTTCTAGAAAAGGCAAGGCCTCAGAAAACAAATCAGTGGTTCCCTGGGCTGAAGCAGAGGAAAAGGATAACTACAAAAGAACAAGGGAGAACTTCTGGGAATGATGGAACTGTTCCATAGCTTGACTGTGGTCAGGTGAATGACCACATCGTCATCAAAACTCACAGACTTGTACATTTAAGAAAGGTGAATCTACTGTGCAAATGCTCCCCCACCTCCAAAGATGTTCATGTCTTACTCTCTGAACCTGTAAATGTATTAATTTAAATAGCAAAGGGACCTTGCAGATGTGATTCCAGATCCTGAGATGGGAGATTAGCTTGGGTCATTTGGGTATATATGTGATTACTATGAGACCTATGCATCACAGGGTCCTACAAGAAGGAGGCAGGAGAGTCAGTCAGTACACAGTTTGAAATGCTATGATGCTGGCTTTGAAGAGGAAAGTGCCAAAAGCCCAGGAATGTGGGCAGTCTCTGGAAGCTGGGAAAGGCAAAGAAACAGATTCTCCCTAAGGGCCTCTAGAAGGAACCCACCCTGCCAATGGCCAGTGAGACTGATTTTGGACTTCTGAATTCCAGAACTAGAAAAGAATAGACTTATGTTAAGCAACTGTTTAAGTTTATGGTAATTTTTAACAGCCACAATAAGGAAGCAAATATAATAAATCAAACCTAAATAAATCTGACTTTTTGAAAAAAAAAGTTTTGTAGTTGTAGATAGACAGCATGTCTTTATTTTATTTGGTTATTTTTATGTGGTGCTGATGATTGAACCCAGGTCCGCACATGTGCTAGGCAAGCACTCTGCCACTGAGCTCTGACCCCAGCCCCAAATCTGACTTTTAAAAAAAGAAACTGAATGTATTTAGCATGGTACAGCAAATAAAAGGGGTTTGGCTAAGCTAACAATCCTGGGTCAGAAACATGAGTGTGATTATTTGCTTACTCTCTAACTGACATGTTAATTAACCTCACTGGAGTATTATTATTGCCTTTAAAATATTTCCAATAATATGTCATAGAAATTAAATTCAGGGATTAAAAGATATAATTTATACAAAAACTTTGCCAATTCCTAGCACTTTATATGCTTTCAATAAGTTGTAGCTATTATTTTAGCTGATTATCATGGGAAATTTTCATATTAGAATATACATAAAAATATAACATTATAGCAGAAATAAGCCTCCAATCATTATTTAGTGGCTACAATCTAGAAAAATTAGATGCAATCTAGAAAAATGATTATTTGGATTCCTTCCTAATAGACAATTGCTTGTATGCCAAAGTTCTCTACCAGAATAGGTCCGAGTTACTTCTTGTAACTATTGGATTATAAACAGTAATACTCTGAGATGTGTCACATCCTTTAAATAAGTATGTGACCAAACTGTCCTGCAAAACAGTTTCCAAATCTAAATCTATATTTGTATGTAACAAACATCTGTCCAACCTGGTCCTCTGTCTTGTTTTTGGAATCTATGTAGGGAATTGGTTCATAGAATGTTCTTGCATTTGTGATAATGAATTTGGCATAATCTACACGTCCTCTCCTCACACATGGTTTTGAACGTTGTATGCTTTTCCCAGGTTTTTTTTCATGTATGATTTCTTCTTCTTTCTCAGTTACATATACTATACCATCATCTTCTATTTTATGCTGTCTGAAAGACATAATTAAATAGTAAATAATTTACCCAATAAGCAAGCAGTCGTAATTAAATAAGATTCAAATATATTTCAGGTATTAGTCAAGACAATTTAAGTTTTATTAATAGTTTTTGACAGCTTGTGCTATTAAAATTTAGGGTGGCATCTTCTCATTCTAAATATATGAGATAAAGGAACTATGTGTCAATAATGATTATTCATTATGACCAGTGTAGTATACAGACTCTAATTGGCTTGCAGTAAAGAGTAGTAATTTGATTATGCTTATAAGTCATGTTTGCAATATTTATACCTGTGGATAAATTATATGCTAATCTGAACATATTTTTTATTCCAAATTTTATTACCAGGAGATGACACCCCCCCCCTACACACTTTACCTCATAAATTCAGCCATCTAGACAAAGATAACCACTTAATTTTAAAAACTTACCTAGAAAATTTATAAAAGCAGGCTGGGAATATAGCTCAGTTGGTAGAGTACTTGCTTCATATGCACAAGGCCTTGGGTTCAATCCCCAGCACCACAAAAAAAAAAAAAAAAAAAAAGCTACCCAATGATCAGCAATATTTATCTTTTTGAGGGAGAAAAGATACTGTGTAGACAAAACAATTAAGTCTTATTATTTTATGCTTCTAATGATTATACTGCTACAAAAAGTAGAATTACTGAAATGAAAAACATTAAAGAGATTTAAAGTTCATAGAACATTTTCCTTATTTAAAAGATTACCATATTCTTTATTTTTCAAGTATATGAAAGTCTATTAAAATTTCATATACTTGAAAAATAAAGAATATGGTAATCTGAATAATTTTCACACCCAGAGGCTTTTAAAATCAAAGCTCTGACCCCACAAAAGGTGAATTAGGAAGATGCCAAATTTATAAGAAATTCTGTTTAGGCTGATACTCAGACCATAAAATATAACTCCTACCTTACTTCAAACCAAAGCCAGGCCCATCTCTTCTGTCATGTCATTTTTCAATTAAAATCTTCATGTAGCTCTCCACTGCATTTAAAACAAATCACTGTCTCTTGACTGGAGCTCATGTGTGACTTGCTCATCTCTTCATCCTCATTCAAGCCTCTCTGCCTCACTCCTGCAGCTTTTCCTTTTCTTTTCTCCTCAGGGCCTTTGCACATGTTGTGCTCTCAACCTGCACTTCTCTTCCCCAACTCGCTGCATAGCTTGCTGGTGATCATTTAGATCTCAGTCTACAAGTCATTTTCTCAGAAGCTTTGTATCTATTTTCCCCTCCTGACTCTCTATATTCACTATTTTAGTGATTTGTCCTTTTATTTCATGACACTTACCACGGTTTATAATGCATGTACCTAGTTTTTTGTTTACTTGCTTTTAGTAAGCACCAGAAATACCCTACTAGTCATAGTCAATAAGTTCCATGAGGTAGGGATTGTTTCACTTATTATTTACCCAATATCCGGGCAAGGGGTTCTGTTCCCTGCAGATGAATAAAGTGCCATTTATATTGACATATTTCTGGTGACTCTGATGGGATTTTTTTCTGAACTCTGGGTTTGTTTTAGCTGTGTATCCTCTGCAGTCCCTCCACTACACAAATAACATTCAATCCTTGTGACTGATTTGAAAAAATTGATTACTGGTAAAGTGTAAATAACTTCTAAGCCCTTTCTACTATCTTTCCGGAAACATAAGTATTTATTTCAAGATTGTGACTTTGAGGTTAATTAATTTATCATTGTAGAATCCTGGCATCAGTCTTTCCCCATCTGCTTCTCATGGTTGTACCCCAGCAATACATTGGTACTAGAACCAGGTCTTCAAAGGACAATAGTTATTTGTTTACACACTTATGCACTCCTTCAGTTAAGCATTTGTGTAAATGACTATAGATAAAGAAATGTGGGACGGGGGTTGTCGCTCAGTGGTAGAGCCTTTGCCTCACATGTGTGAGGCACTGGGTTCAATTCTCAGCACTGTGTATAAATCAATCAATCAACAAAAAAAAAATTAAAAAAAAAAAAAGAAATGTGAAACATGACTCTTCAGTAATTTCTTGTAGAAGGAAAACAAATAAAAACCCTAATGGCTCTGTGATTAGTCAGATCTGGATTGGAATCACAATTCTGCCATTTAATATCTGAACTTCATTTTCCTCATTGGCCTGATAAGAACAATATCTATTATGACAGATGTGAGAATAACCCTGAATAATTCATTCTTCCAATAAATAGTCACTATGTGCCACATGCTGTTTGAGGTATGGAGGATACAGCAGTGAAAACAGAAAAATCACTGCCCTCATAGAACTTACATTCTAGCAGGGGAAGGCAGATGATATATAAAATAACAAAGGCACAGTCTTTTAGATGGTGTTAAGTGGTGAGGACAACAATAAAGCAGGGAAAAGGAGTGCATGCATGTGGGAGGTAGGCTGCATTTTTAGGTAGGGTGGAGGCTGCTTTGTGAAGGTGGCAATTGAAAAAAGAAACAGGGGAGGGAGAGAGCTAAGTGCATATTTGAGGGAAGAGCATTCCAAACCAGTGAACTGTAACTGTAAAGCCTTGCAGCAGGAATGTCCCCATCCTTAGCACCACGGTGCTTCCTGAAGTGATTGCTGGAGTAAGCTTCATTGGCATCAATGTGACTTCATTAGAACTACAACTTTAAAGGCATCATTTCAATACTAAATCATCATCTCTGGGGCTGGTTCCCAGGAACCTGTTTTAACCAGCTGTCTAGCTGACTCATACATGTTTAAGTTTGAGAACCACTCTTCCACCAACAAAAATGCAGGTTTTGGTTCCACTGATTCTACATCACTCTTAACTAGCTGTGCTACCTTGATTCACTGGATCACAAAACATGCATACATGGGAAGGCTTGCTAAAGCCCAGATTATTGGGCCCCACACCCAAAGTTTCAGATTCAGTGTGTTTGGACGGGGGATCCCCTATGATTCTGCATTTCTACAAGTTCTCAGGTGATGCTAAGATGGTCTGGGAATCACTTTGAGAATCTCTGGAGAAAACAGCAAGGCCTATATACTAGAGCAGGGTCCTGCCAGAGGGAGGTAAGCAGTAGACAAGGTCAAGTAAGGAGAGAGAGGCAAATTGTGTAGGCCTCAAGTAGAAGCCTTGGCTTTTGCTGTGCTATGCACGATGGAGGATGGTGATCTAACCTACCTTGTAAAAAGACCATTCTGACTGCTATGTTGAGTTGCTGCAGAGGGGAAAGGAACCAAAGCTATTGCAGTCTCCAAGAGTGAGAAGCTGGGGCTTGGGACAGGGTGGGGATGATAGTGGAAATGATTAACAGTGTAGAGTCTGGATACTTTGCAAGGGTAAAGCCTACAGAATTTGCTAATAAGTTAAATGTGGGAAGTGAAAAGGAGTGGATGATTTCAAGATGCCTTCAAGAGTTTTAGGCCAGGCAATGCATGTGAAGTTGCTGACACACAATACTGTGAGCAGTAAACGGTGCATTTTAAAAATTGTTATGGTAAGCATTCAGCTCCTAGAAACCGCAATTAGGAAGGGAACTGGATGAGGTCTGGCATGGACTGTGCTGGGGACCACCCCTCGGGTTTCATCTAACTCTCCCTCTTAAGGAGGAAAATAATTTTCGGAAGGGAGAAATAAAAATCCAAACCCCTGCACTTACTGCAGCTTTTCCTCCTTTCCTTCCATGGGCTCCTACGGCCTGGCACGTGGCAACGAAGAGCCTCTACCAGAAGAACGGGGACGTAGCCTTGCTAGGAATGAGGCCCGAGAGCGAGGCAACTGTGACTCTTGCGTTGCGTTGCTAAGCGACGGCGGCCTGGCAACGCCGCCACAGAAAGGGGCGTGAGCTGGACCCGGACGCGCAGGCGCAGTGATCGCGGTCGGCTCCGCTCTGTTGGCCGCGGCTGAGCTGCGCAGAGCCTGGCCGGGTGTCTAGGCGTCCGCCCCACCAACCCGCTGTAGGGTGGACACCCTGCGCTTGAACTCGCCCTTCCCCGGTAGGGCCAGGACTGGTGTTTATCACCGTGACTAGGTCCTGGGTGGGAGGGATCAGCGAGGGTCGGTTTCCGGAGCTTCCCCCGCCGGGGGAAGTGCTGCTCTGGTCTGCTCATCGTCCTCCCTCCAGAGCCCGGCAGGACGTTGCCCCGGTGTCCGCAGCTGCCAGAGCTGGCTCCAAAAGTGCGGGCAGGGGCGGGAAGAAAACGTGTTTACTCGTGAGCCATTAAATACTGTTCAAGTCGTGATTCGCTTTCTCCGGTCAAGGAGAAAGCTTGGCTATCACTGTTTACCACCAATTTCAAGCAAAACCTTTCCCGACCCTGTGGCAATGGTTAAAATAGAACAAGGGAACACTCATCTCCTGCAAATGAGGCTCCCTGTGGAGTGTGCATCTGCCCAAGGCTGAGCGGCCTTCAGAATCAGGCGCAGGGGTTTGTAGGCTTAGGCAGCCAGCTGGTTGGGACTTATTCGTGTAGCACTTATCCAAAAAGAGCAAGCTCCTGGGAGAAGCCGACAATTACTTGCGTCCATGTCTGACCCTGGAATTTCTTACCTCATTTTACCGTTGCCTTCCACTTTCCACTAACCAGAGCCAAACGTCTTTGGCATCTACCATGATAACTGTTACGCATTTTCCTGCATACGGAAGGAAATGGAAAGGAAAAGTCCTCACTGAGTCGAATTCTTCTACATATCCGGCTGTGTGCAAGTGCATACGTTTTGTAACCCAGAGTCAATTTGTATATTTGCGTTTTCCTTGGAGAGGTGTAGGAAAGTGAAGGTTGGTCCTAATATCCATTGTACACATGAGAGCTAAAGTCCTGGCAGGACGAATGTATGAATAGATTTGACACTCAGTGACCTAACATCTACTTCTCTGGTTTTATCTTAACCATTGTAGACACTGGATACCTGGAAGTAATGGGACTTTGAATGGTGGCTCCACCACTTAAACCAGTTAGAGGGAAGTGGCTTAAACTCCCAGAGCCTCAATGTCTTCATTCACAAAATGTGAAAACACTAGGGTTGTTATGAAGTATAATTTGATACAGGCAGAATACCAAGAGCAGTGTGTGATGCTTAGTACTTGCTTGGTCACGATTAGCTTTCATTATTTTTTATTTGAGCAATTCAACCTGCCTATGCCGCTACATGTCCTTGAGGTTTAGTTGACATCCTTATCATTCCTTCTGATTTCTATTTTAACCTTCACCAATCTCTTTGATTTGATTATTCAAATCACTTATCTTCAGGGACAGTCTCTACTACTTGTTAAAAAGAAATGAAAACATTTTCTCAACTTTCTGTCTCTCAAATTGACAAATTCACCTGAACCCATGTGGAATGAGTTGTTTGCCTCTATTTTGAAAGTATTAGTCTAAAATAAATACATTTATGTCACTATCGGAAACTGTTATGCATTTTGCATATGCCTAGGATTTATTAAAGGCCATGAGAAACTTTAAAACAAATTGTGCCACAAGGAAGTCACAATCTAGTTAGGAATACAAGAGAATCACACACAAAAAAAATTGTGAACAAAACAGCAATGAACATATTATATAGCTGATAGTCACAAGTGTTAAATTTCAGTGCTGATGATAATATTCTATTATAATGATACATCATTTATTCTTGTTGTATTCTCTGTAGGGCGATGGCATAATTGTATGGATTTTACAATAATTATTGACTTTTTATATAGAAAAGCACTTGACTACTTTAGTAGTTTTTTACTAATAACTATCTGACCTAAAATACATACTTAAAAATTCTCCATGATGTAGATTCTCACTTGTAAAAAAAAAAAAACTGAAAAAAAATCAGTAAAAGATGCGATTTGTGATAAGTAGTCTGAATGTTTACCAAAAAAGTAGTTAGTTTACTAACATTGTTCAAGTTTAAAAATACCAGTGCTGTTTGAGCTAGCTAGCATACCTTCTGTGAGGGACCACAAGAGAATGGAAAGTGCTCATGCAAAATGTTATAGATTCAGAAAATTATCAATATGTTTTGGACCACAGGAAAATATCAAAAGAACAGTACAGTTGTATATCCTTGTAGGAAAGCTGAGGTTCAGGGAGATTCAGTTTCCTCTGAGTCTTTTTTTAAGTGATGTCGTTGAAAAGGAAAGGATTGCAAACATATGGCATAAACAAAAGCTAGCCCAAATTCTATTTTAAAAAAAACCAGATCATTTATTTGCCTCATACACATGTGTTGCAAGGATTAAATGAGAAAATTCATTCAGTGAACTTATCCCAGCACATGGTAGCACTATTAAAAGCTAGCTGTTAGTATTCTTCCAATTTTTATAATTGGTAGGGTGGAAGTTTCATTGAGTGCACACATTTTATTGCCTTTGTTTCATTACCTTAGACTGTAAGACATTAATAAACCAAAATAAACATTAGTCGAGGGCCATGGAATGAGAAATGTTAGTGTTAGTTTTGCCTATCTTTGAGAAAGGATGGGTTCAAACAAGTCACAGATGTGAGAGGGTCCCTGAGTTTTTCTCATGTCTAAGTTCAAAGCTAATTAATTTTTATCATACTTTAAAGAGAGACATATAAAAAAAAAAAAAACAAGAATGAGTTGTTGCATCTCCAGAAAGGTAAAAATCTCTAAATTTAAGGATAGGTTGGAGACTGGGGATGAAGCTCAAAATTTGGCAGCAAAATGCTTGCCTAACATGTGTGCCTAGCATCCCTGAATTCAAGACCCTAGCATGGCAAAAACAAAATGAAAAAAAAAGCCCATATTTGATGTAAATAAACAATTCATATAGATATATAAACAAAAATTTTTAAAATTTTCTAGAAATAACTAAAAATAATTCTATTATACCATAGAGTTGTGCAAAATCATTATTAGAAATTACTAATTCAGAAATTTACCTTATTGAGAGAAGAAACCTATATTTTATGATTTCGCAATTCAAAGTTCATTTTAAAATAATCCCAACTACCATTGCCTATATAGAAGCTGTATAACCAAAGGATGAATGAAAAGCTAGTCTCAGCTGGGCAGAACAACGAAGGGCCATTTTACCCTATAGTGGTGTCGTGAATAAAGACTGGTTGAAGGAAGAACGTTGCAAAAGAAAGTATTGTTGGAATGTTACCCATCCTCAAAAGGTCAGAAATCACTAACTGAGCTGTCTAATTTTAAAGGTTTTCTGTCCCCTAGTTTCCTTTTCAATGTATTTTTTTTTGTTCTGTCTGAAGAATTCCAGAAATGTGATCATCTCTGTGCAAGCCATTGCCATACTTTATTATCTAATTATTAAGCAACACATTCTGAGCAACTTTCATATTCTGATCTATTCTTACTGGGCTGTGATATTTTAATTCATTGATTTGAGATTCGAGTACCTAGAAAAGTATCTTCCAAATAAAAGTTCTGTGAGTAAGACTAACCCAGAAAAATCGTTCCTTATATCCTGCAAAATATATACTACTTCTAATATTTTCAGTAGTGTTTTCTTTAATGGACACCAATTAAAACTGTTCAACACACTCCTTAGAGAAATGCCACATTTTAAAAATGGTAATTAAAACACCCTTTTAAGCTAAACAATTTAAGTTCTTCAACTTCTGCCCATAAAATCTACTTTGATTCTTTTGATGATACAAATTGCCATCCTCTGTGCTTCCCCTAAGGGAGAATTAATACATATTGAATTTTGGGATTAGACCTGTGTTTAAATCCTAGTGCTGTGACTCTGGGCAAGTTATTTAAAGTTTTAAATTTTGAATATATTGCTTGTTAATCTTTAAAAGTAAATGAAAAATAAAGCTCCTGAAGAATAGGAATAAAAAAAAACTGTAAGGTGGTTGGTTGTGTTCAATGGTATGCATAATCACCTGGCGCACAGTAGGTACCCGGTAAGTGTTTTCTACCACTCTTGTACTTCCTTACCCATTGTCTAAGGTCAATCGCCTTGAAAGTGATTCTGCTAGGATTTGATTTTGGAACTACTTCTCTTTTTCTATCTCTCATGGCCTCTACATCTAATTTCTCTACCTCTTATTTTAAACCATGGTGATAAAAACTGAATATAAACTTCCAAATGGGGGCTTCCTAATGTAGAATAGTTGGAAAGATTAGAAACAGGAGATTGGGTAGAAATACCTAGAAAGAGTAAAATCAGATCCCTTGACAGGAGTCCATGGGAGTGGAAGACTTTGATACAGAAAGGTCACAATAGGGGAGGAGAATATTATTATTATTTAGTGATGGAGTGGGTGCAAAGGGAGAGAATGTGCCCCATCTGCTTTTAAAATGTCACCATACCTTATGCATTCTGGCAAATGCATGATGTTAGGTTCCATGATTTGATAAAGCAGAAACAATAACTTTCTAAGAATAAGCACATCATCACCAACCACCATGACTCCAACTCATGACTTAAGTGGCGCCATGATTTGGAACTGTGATATGTATGGATAGACCTATGATAATTTTTTTTTAAAAAAATGCTTTCCTTCTGTAGCACAAATGAAGAACCCAGAGATGTTAAGATTACATTTGAAGAAAAATGAGGGTTCTGACCTAAAAACTTGAATATGCCTAAAAAGAAATCACAGTTGAGGTTTTTAATAGAAAAGTATTACAACACTTTTAATTAGTGAGGGAGTTTAGTTTAGTTTACCTCAAATACCTCCTAATCTGAAGTCACTGTCTTC